TCTGGATAGGGTCCCACATTCTGCTCATGCTCTTCTCTCTTGATGGTCCTAGGGTCCTTTATTCCTGGACTGTAAGATTAACTACTCCCCCATTTTTGTTACAAAACTTCTACCTTTACAGTTGTGACAACCACAATTATTAATCATAACAATTATCCATAGGGCTTTCTTGACTGAAAACCTTTGAGTAGTTAAGTGTCACTAGGGACCTTGAGGTTTAAAGAAAACTCAAGAGTACTTTTTACCCTAAAGTGCTCATAAACTCAAGTGCTTTGTAAAGCTCTAAGTGGGGGGTTTTTAACCCCTAAAGCATCCTGTCATTTGCAAAGTGTGTTGACTCTGCCAGTGGAGACTGAGCATAGTGGAGTTGCCTTCCTTTCTCAGGATGGCATGATCTCCCTGATCCTTGTCTTAATTACCAGATGCTGTCACTACAGATACTGTCTCTGGGTGGTGCAAACAGTTAACACAGTTAACCACTAACCAAAAGGTTGCCGGTTCAAGCCCACCTCAAGAAAAGTTGGCTATCTACTTCTGAAAAATCAGCCATTAAAAACCTTATGAAGCAATGTTCTCCCATGTAAACTATCACGTAATTCACAATAAAACATGTAAAAAAAAATTGAATATTGAAAAAAAAAACCAAAAACCTTATGAAGCAAACTTTTACTCTGACACACATGGGGTCACTATGAATCAGAACCAACTCTGTAGTAAATGATTTTTTGGTTATAACAAAAAAATATCAGAGACTGGTAGAACTCTGAGCCTAGGCCTTGGGTCACCCTTCAAGTCTGGATCTGAACTCACCGCTGTGGTTCAAGCAGTAGATAGGTCTATCATGGGGACAACAATACTAGTGCGGTGTACATGCCTTAGACTAGTTAACCTTCTGAGATCAAAAGGGCAGCATTTACTTAAGCTCAAAATTTAGAAGGGTGGAGGAGGGAAGGGGAGGAAGTGTGGGATAAGTGACGTTACATGGAAAGGATTGCAATAGAAGTATATGGTTTGTTGAATGTAAACCTGATGATCTGCTCTTTAAGCCTTCACTCAATTCACAATACAAATTTTAAATAAATAAATAGATGTTGTTGTTAAGTGCCATTGAGTCAGTTCCGACCCATAGCGACCCTGTACAGGGTTTCCGAGGGTGTAAATCTTTACGGGAGTAGGAAGCCTCATCTTTCTCCCATGGAGCAGCTGATAGTTTCGAACCGCTGACCTTAAGGTTCGTTCGGAGCCCGATTCGTAACCACTACGCTACCAGAGAAGCTTTTTTAACCTAGGAATTACTCTCACCATTTTGGGGGCTTAAACAGTGGCTTTTCAGTCAATGCCCATTCATTGCAACCCCATGTGTGTAAAGTAGAACCACCCTCACAAGAATTGTCAAGGCTGTGACCATTTCGAAAGCAGATCACCAGGACTTTCCTCCGAGGCACCTCTGGATGCATCCGAATCACCAATCTTTGCTTCAGTGACTGAGCACTTAGCTGTTTGCACCACCCAGGGACTCCATTGCCACTGAGTTGATGCCAACTCATAGGAAACCCTACAAGACAGAGTAGACCTGTCCCTTGGGGTTTCTAAGGCTGAAAATCTTTACAGAGGGTTTCTAAGGCTACACATCTTTAAGGAAGCATTTCTTTCTCCCAAGGAGCCACTGGTGGGTTTGAACCACAGATCTTCCAGGTAGCAGCCCAGAGACTTCCATTGTGCCACCAGGACTCCCCTCAAGGACTCCTAAGAGTTCAAATTCAGGGCATTGGCCAGACTGGGTTCTTTTGCTTTGTGGGCTCCAGGGGAAGACCTTTATCTCTTTCAGCTTCTATAGCCCTGGGTGTTGCTTGGCATTCCTTGGCAGCTTGTGGAGTTATTTTCATTGGTATAGTGTCTGTCTTCCTCTTGTGTGTGTGGCTCCCCCTGTTTCCCTTCACATAAGATACCACTCAGAAAGATAAGGTTTAGGATCCACTTAACTCCAATGTGACCATTTGCCAAACAGGGTCACATTCAGAGGATAGGGTGCCCACATATCCTCTTGGGAGGACACAATTTACCCCATCACTTTTCTCTTCCCCAGGTGCCCAAGATGAAGGAGAAGGGGGCCCTGGTACCTGTCCAGAAGGTTGTGGATGAAGCCCATGATGTCCACGTGGTGCCCCGTCCCCGGGTGTCCTTCTGGATCATGAAACTACCCCAGAGGAGGTCCTATCAGGATGCACAGGAGGGGGGCCACTGGCTCAGTGAGAAGCGACACCGGCTGCAGGCAATCCGAGACGGGCTTCGTGAGGGTACCCATGAGGACCTCTCCGACGAGGGCCCTCAATTCTCCTTGCACCCCAGGCTGCCTGCCCGCAAGGCCCGCTTCCTGTACATCTTCAGGCCTTTCCAGCAGCTCTAGTGTGAGACCTGAAAGCTCATACCCCACGTACCCCATCCCCACTGCTGGATGGAAATAAAGTTTTTTTTTCTTACATTCGGCAGCATTTCTTTACAAGACCCTTCCCTATGCTTTGGCCTGCAAGGCCACTGCATGTCCCCCAACCTCATCCTGAGGGTGATGTCTGAAAGCTAGCTAGTTTTTACTAAAGTCTCCAGTTTCCTCTTTCTCATTTAGACACTCTCTGTCTTTTTTTT